TGATCTAAGACATGACGAAAGAGAGAGCGGTCAGGAAGTGTTTCACAGTGGGGCCACAGGTTTCCAGCTAAAGTTCTTTCGACAGGTATCAAAGGTAAAAACCAAAGTCGAGTATCACAAGAGCCGATGCAAGCCTGGCTGATCATGTCCACTTTATAGGCTGAGAGCCCTGCCACACCGCTGAAGGTGCACATAACCATCATGCTGTATATACCATACATAGATTATGGCCGCGCCAGAAACGGAGCTGACATGTCCGGTTGGCCTTTCTAGACATAATTGTTCAATGCATTTAGTAATTTAGTCCAAAAAAGAAGGAATGTATCTAACACCAGTCACCGATCTCATCACCGCCTTTCATGCGGTGAGGCGCATCCCAACCGAAACCCGTGACGGAGCAGGCGGCCAGTGACAGACCGCCCGTAGAAAAGTCGTGGTTTTGCCGCTGCTTGCTCCAGATTTCCCCTTCATCCCACTCCCTCTACTGCGCTGCCTCATTCTACTCTCGATCATTGCCTGCATTTCTGGCATTATTCCTCCCCTGGATCCTTTAGTTACCCTTAGCCCATCCACTCCCATCTTTCTAAACCTGGTGCGGCACCTTCCGAACGGCGTGGTGGGTTCTGCCGGTCGGTGTTGTGGCCAAGCTGCTATTTTGCCATCCGTTTCTCTCTCACCCCTCGTCTTCTCGAGACCCTGTGTGCGTCACTGTCTCACGGCTTCAGCGTGCGCGCTGTGCCTCTCTGACCCGGTAGATCTGTCGCTTACAATATCTTTACAGTGCTCTTTAACGCGCAGTTTCTTGCTCGAGTCATCCCCCCATTTTATTGTGTTAATCCCGGTCCCTCCTTGCCGAGTGCCCGCCCGGCCACACACTTTCCCTCTCAATGGGTCGCAAACCGAACCAACTCATCCTCGAGTTCTTTATTCGAGGCCAGAAACTCGAGGACGCCAGTAATCGCTACCAGCACACGTGCAAGGCCTGCGGAGAGAAATTTCCCAAGGGTCGCATCGACAGCTTGACCAACCATCTCGTGAAGAAGTGTCAAGCCATCCCGTTGCGCGATCGGCAACGCGTCTTGTTGCGACTCCACGAACTTCCCGATCTCGCCGATGGCGACCAGAACAAGGATGTGACGAGTAAGGGCAAATCGGTGGATCTGCCCTTCACTACACGCCAGAATTTCGATGGCCTTAATGTTTTGGCCGAGGCATCGCGCCAGGTTGGTGCGTCCGACCAGACGAAACGGGGCCCTGCATACACTCAGTCGGTGACAGTTGGGGGAAAGACCGTGGTCGTCGACCCGGCCCTCGAGGCTGAAGGCTTTCAAGGTCATCCTACACAGCCAGACCAGGTTGAAGAAGATGCGAACAACGCTCCAGGTAAGTCGGTGTTGTGACCTACCTTCACTCAAGCTTCATTCACTCATCCCGCTTCCTTTGTCTATTTGCGACGTGCTAACGCTTATAATCTCTCAAGGCACTCCTCAAGGTTCCAACGCCTCTTCTGTACCTTCCCTGCCTAGTTCCTCTCAAGACCAGCCACAAGCCGCAGCCGCATCCCCCCCGTTGCCAGACGTTTCGTTGACTCCGGACCCCACCTCCAATGCGCGCCAGTCGCAACTGTCCATGATTGCTGCTTCCGCTAGTGAGATGGTGCCCCACGGTCTCCCAATGGATCACGATGCTGGTCTTACCGACGGTATGCCTAAGATGAGTCCCTCGTGGAACCAGCAGCTGTCCACCCAGGAGCAGCTTCTCTTCGACAGCCTTCACGAACATGATCCCACTCTCACTGCAGCCACACAGCGCGCTGCTTCCTTCCCCCGTCCTATTGCTATGAACCCCAACTCTCAGGCCAAGGGCTTCGTGAACGAATTTGGCAACTCTACCAAGCCTACCAAGCCGAAAGTGCGCGGTCGCTTCTCCGCCGCCCGACGCCGAGAGGTTCAAGAAGTTCGCAAGCGGGGCGCGTGTATTCGCTGTCGCATGCTGAAGAAGCCTGTAAGTTGGATGCCCTCTAGTCTTGGATATGCTTTCTAAACAAGTCCTGCCTCTAGTGCTCCGGTGACAGCCCGTGTACCACCTGCGCCAGTGTCGAGAGCGCCCGCTTGTGGAAGCACCCGTGCATTCGCACGCGCATTGCCGAAGAATTCGAGCTGTACAATGCAAGTATGTAAACTGGCCTTGGTGGTGGTTGTCACACGCACTAACCACCGCAGATTTGCACGCTACCCTTGCCTACCACGATGTGAGCGGTATCCGCAATCAAATCAAATTCGAACACTACGCTGGACGTATTGAGGTTACCCACTTTGAGGAGAGCATGGTCTACGTTACCTTTAGCGGACTCCAGGGCCACAAGGCACCCGCATCGACGCTTGACCCTCAGCTCCAGGCTCTCGGAGATGAAACACAATTCCAGGGCCCTCTCCACGAGCTGTATCTGCTGGACAGTGATGCAGATGATCTTCCTGGAAAGATCGAGATGTACATCAAGAAGACTGCGCCGTTCTTCTACGAGCGGGAGGCTTCGGACTTCATGAGACCAACTTTGTTGCTTGCAGCGGAGCTAAGCCAGCAGAAAAAGGTATGTTCTTGACGAATCACCGGAAAGCCAGCAGTGTTGGCTGACTTGTTCAGGATGTGTTGCTCGAACGGGTGCTGGAACTCTGGATTGCCACTCACATTCTGGCCGATGGGGAGTTGCAGTGGAAGACATTCTGCAACCCAACTCTGCCTCCCACGTCGATGCACTCCCTTGCACAGCCATCAGACGACGGCCGCACACCCATCGATAGTGTCACCAACAGCGAGTCGTACGAGCTCCTATGCAGCCAGCTGCGGGCCGCAACCGAGAAACGCGCGTCGCAGTTGAGCAAGTCGGTCATGAATGATCTCGAGCGGCGACTGCTTCAGCGCCAGCAGAGCGGCTGGTTCGAGACCTTCCTGGTTGCGCTTATTTTGTTGAACTGCGTGGAGCGGACGTGCTGGCTATTCCGGTCCTGGGACGACGAGAACTTTGCTCAGCGGGTAAGCTCACCGCCATACTTCAAAGCGGTCTGTCCGTATACTAACTCGTTCCGCAGTGGCCTTTGGACAAGCGTCCACCTTACTACGCCAATCAAGGCGATCGCTTCTCCGACATCCTGCACATGTTGTTGAAGATGCGTAGCCTTCCGCCCAAGGCTACTCCTCGACCAGATACTGGCATCTTAAAAGCCGTGGATGGTAGTGACGAGAATGCAGCTCGCTGGTTTGACATGATCAAAGTGACTCGTACGTACCCCCTTAGGCCTCGAACCTCAATTGAATCACTGCTAATCACAAACAGCTCTCTTCCTTGAACAACGTCAAGCCACCGTTTTTGACCCTACTGACTCCCGCTCGCTCGACCTCCGCTACGGAGCCAAGCTCCTCCCCCCAACGAACGTCTACACCTAATCCTGCCTTGCTGCGTCTTCTAGGCTCTTCTAGTACTGGTTGACGAAACAGAAAGAAAGCACAAAAAAACAAAGTAAACGACTTTGATGACAACAACAACAACATTAACAACAACAAACCTCGAATTAAGCAGGCTTCTCTTTTCTTTACCTCTGCACTATCACAATCTATGATTGACCTGTTGGTTCTCGTATATGGTGTAGATGGATGGGCGTGAGTGTAGGCGTGGGCATGGGCATGGGCATGCGAGGGAAGCAAAAAGGAACGACAGGAAGGACGGACGGACGGACGGAGAATGAATGCAGCGATTATGTGTGTGCGTGTTTCTTTCTTTTCCAAAATCTAAACCCCCTGTAGTAATGTAACCGAACGAAATCCATACCTGTGTTTGATTTCACGCCTGAGGCATATACCATTATCTCCTATCACCTCCCCTCTTAGATATCTGCAAATTGGTTCATTCCGAGAAATATGTCCACATAGGTTCCAAGTAACAACGTAGCCAGCTAATTATCTTTACTACTACTACTACTACTACTATTCCAAACCTACTCCATAAATTCTAGAATTATATTATAACCCTGTAGTCAATTCATTCATTCATTCACCCATATCTTTCTCTCAAGAAAGTATGAACATTCTACATACATAGTAATCTCCCAAATACTGTGAGTAGTAGTACCCAGTACCTAGTACGTAGTACCTAGTAGTACCCTCCGAGTTGGGATGAATTCGTATAGCATCATTGGCAAGCAGGTTACTAGTAATGATTATTACTAAATTTCAACCAGTAAGTACCTAACTAGTTAGTTAGTTGAACTCTATTCTGCTTATTCATGTCCTACAACTCACTGAGGCTCTTTTTTTTTTTATTTTTTTTATTTTTTTTATTTTTTTTATTTTTTTTATTTTTTTTATTTTTTTTATTTTTTTTTTATAATATGATATATACAGCACACTAGAAAAATCCTCTTCTACATAATCTGTGCAGTGACCGTGTAGTAGTAGGTTGATATCATGTTTGCTACTTACAATTACTACTAGTCTACTATTAATTACTACATCATGTCGTTTGGCTGCTACTTTTCGTTGGATTTGGGGGTTGAGGGTGGTAATATATTATTAATGCTACTACTAGGTCTACACGCATTTGTATACTCGATGAGAAGGAAAAGATGGGTTGTCTCGCCCCTTCTTGTTATGTTCATTCTTCCCTGGTTTATAGTACTGCTTTCTTCTTTTCTTTCTTCGTTTCGTTGGGGTAGAGGTGCCGTCGTCTACTGATATCATATAACCAAGTTGCTCTACAGTAGCAGACAAATATAACATAACATATCGTTGTGGCTGACCACTCGTCATTCAATTGTCAATATAGGAATAACAAGGCATATCAAAGCTAACACAAGTTAGACAACGCCTTCTAGCTAACTTATCAAAGTCCCAGGACGTCACTATCAAAATAAAGAAAACGAGTGGGGGTAAGATTCAATGAGAGGTGTCACAGAAAAAAAATATGAGCCCCAGCAAAACACCTTTCTAAATCCAGCGCAGCAATATCAAAGAGGAGTCCAGTTTACTTCTAGCGGTGTATCCGGTACTTTATAAGGGTCATTGGGGTCTAAAGGGGGCATGTAGAGTGGCCCATCACTGGGGGGCCAATGCAAACCAAACTCGGTCCAATAAGGCTTATCACGCCGAATAGACAGGCCATCAGTTGCCAGAGGCTGAGGGAGAGGCTTACGAGTCGTTGATGGGGTAAAACGATTGCTCTTGGATTGTGCATCTGGTCTGCTTGGATTCTCCGTATCAGGACTGACCGGGACAAGTTTTGGGATAGGCGCCTTGTTGATATCGAACTCAATATAACCGGAACGGCCCACCGCCCCCCATTTTAGGCCTGAACGACTAATTTGCGAGATCAGATCGGTCGCAGCCTGATGAGGGTCCTGGCGTGGTGGTACTTCGTCTGTCGAAACTGGATGATGGCATCTGTGGCCATTATTTATAGGTTCGCTATTCGTATCGGAGTCGTAGTCGGTAGCAACATCGGGGTTTTTGGACGAACTCCCAGTACTGGGGGCTGGCTTTTTGGCTTTTGAACGGCCGTTAGAGTCACTAAAGGTAAACTCGTCTCGTTTGGGATCATCGCTCTTGTTGACGTCGACAGGGCTGAAAGCTCTGGTGGTGGCGGTGCTTTGAGAAGGAGTTAAGATGCCACCATCGCTAGAAGTACTGGGGTTGGTGGTGATCTGAGAGGGAGCCACGATTTCACTAGCGGCACAATCTTTATCCTCACCGTCCGAGAGACCGTAGGTTGGTGGATAACGTGCTGTGGGCGTTTCATCGTCAGAACCTACGGAATCGCCATCCTCGAGAGTCGCTGAGTTAGATGAGGGTGATATAGCCGGAAATCGTCCTCCATCAAGGCGTTCCTCAAGCAACACATAGTAGGTTTCAGCTATCTTATAGCTAGCAAGGTAGTTGCTGTGGCTGTTCAGCAAGGGCCTCCACGCTGATGTTTCATACGCGAAGTCCAACTTACTAATTTGTGGGCATCAACTTCGCTTCCATGGCACTAGTGACCATCATCAGTAGCTCTGTCTCATAAACTAATTCTTTATCTGTCAGATCGAGCAGAGGACAGCCATCTGCTATCGGGAGACCCGTAGCATCCGACAACCAATATCGGTCATTGTCTTTCTCGAAAAGATATAATAGCTTGGGCGCCTAGTGGGTGTCAGGATATACGTAGTTGGAATTGCTGGAAAGAATAGCAGACCATTGGATTCTGGTGGTGTAGGACGTAGCAATAAGATGAAGGAGCTAAGGGGAGATTAGAATCTGGGCACAACCGTATCATTCATGTGAGACTGAATGCAAGGTTAGTGGGTTGACTTACTGTAGTATGCGAGGCACTTCACGAACACTTTTGGCCCTTTCCTTATTGGCTGTCTCCGTCCTGTAGCGTTAGGAACCACAGAAGGCCCGGCAGTGCAGCGAGAGAGTAAAGGTAGAGTCTTCAGCGTATCTCAAATAAAAATGAGTAAAAGAGAAATTTGACCATTAGTACAGCCACAATTAGTACAATAAGAATGGGAATCAAAAAGCAAAACAAGTCCACCCACATCTATGAGAAGAGAGTAAAAAGAACATGAAAAGGAGGAAGGAGTGAACGACTAAATAGGGAGCGGACAGGCAAAAGGCATCACATCATCATGATCATACAACATGAAAAAGCGTACCATCCATCATACATCATCATCACACATTAGGCAACCGTGACCTCCTGAACCTGCTCGAGCACCACAACATAATACTTCCCTTCTACAGAAGTATCGTGGTACGGCCCAGCACCTACCAACGCCCTACATCAAGCTGAACATTAGCATTTCCCTTAGATACACTCAGATAGAAAACAAAACTTATACAAAAGAGCCACCACTCACCACCCCTTATACTTCGGCTGATTGAAAATATCCGTAAACGCTTTCAGGATCCGCAACGGCAGCTCCAACATGGAAGGCATTTCCGGACCATCACCGCAAATGGGTAGCCCCAGTTTATTGACAGGTAGATACACAATCTCGGACGGACTTTGCGGATTACGCGCCTCCTGGAAGATCAGAAGGCGCCTCGACGGGGGTGGCATCGTCACTATGTTTGCTGGCTGGTTCTCGGATCTATTATCCGCGAAGATGGACCAGTATCCCCGGTTGGCGTGCGCTTGCTAAGTTGGTTTTCCAAAAATGGCGTCGCGACTATACACCGACTATGCTGTCCACTTTGCTGAGAACAATTATGAATTTTGCTAGTGGATGAGCCGAGTTGGGGACCCGTTCTGTGCCAAGGGTAAGCCTATATTTAGGAGGCATTATGCAGGTTGAACGCACCAAATCGGGCCAAGATTATTGCGAGGTTGAGAATGAAGCCCCACTGAGGGTTTGAGAATTGAGAGGTCCGAGAGCACGATGCAGCGAATGCCCTGAAAGGAAAAGGTAAGAATGATAGTACCGAATAGATACTGCGTGGATGCAGCGGACTTTCGCGCGGCGCGTCGCATCGCCAAACACGTGCGCGGGGGCGGGGACTGCCTTATCGGGAAGCCCCTTATCGTGACCTCCACTTTCCCGATTCGGAAGGAAGTTTCGCTGTGGTGACTGCCCATGGTCTTTGTGCTTATAGCACCAACTGGCAACTTTTCTTCTTAAATATAATAGAAAGATAATATATATAATATATGTGAATCCAATAAGTGTATGCATGCAATGGCTAAATCGAATGTCAGGGTATCATAGCAAAGGCTCTCGCCCAGACTGCCTCATCAACAAACGCCAAAAGCACGAATAGCCCCGGCAGTATCACTTCCCCGCAAAACATAGGACTATGTACAATCTACGTATCAAGCTCCCCATCTAATACGCGTCGAGCCGCATCTAGGCGCCGTCTCAGTAATCGCACCTGCTTCGCGTCCGGGTTCTCGGACGTCGTGATGTTCTGCAGGTCCAAGCAAACATTGCCCAGACTCTGGAATAGCCGCTCTAACAAATGAGTGTCATCATCGTTCAAGCCCAGGTTCCCCTTCGCAGTGGCACTCGGGTGAGGGCTGGAAGCCGCGCGGACGGTGGACACGAGAGATGATACCAAGGATGTCGGCGTGGTAGATCCGGTGGTTGCAGAATCTGACCGTCGCGGAGGCAAGTTGGTCTCAGGATAGAGGCTAGCTTTATCCCGGCGACTGGGCTGTCTGCGAATGGCCCGGGGAGTTCCTTCACCGTCCCCATATTGGCCGCCATTGGAATCATCTACATCCGAAGGGTGGTTGTTGCGTAGCTCTAGTGACAGTTAGTTACTCACTCCTGGTGAGATGCTCTTCATGAATCCTTACCATCGTTGAACTTCCGGTCCCAATAGAGGACACTTTCAAGATCATCACGATCCCCTTCGGTAGCCGTAGCAAACGTCGCCACGGTGGATATGGAGGTAGTGCTATTCGCGCGAGAATGGCGGGTGGAACGGTGGTCGATCGGCCGCGTCGTTTCCACAGACGAGGTAGAAACATTGCTCTCGCGTCGCAAGCGAGCCTGCGTGTAGTTTCCTAGAGCGCTATGTAGGATGAAATGCTCATAGTCGAAAGCATCCTCTCGCTCCTCGTGCGGTGTATCCTCCAAGCTCTGTGGAGCCGCTGGGAAAGCCTCCAACGAGTCATCAAACTCATCATCCAGGGGTTCGCGCAAGATCTCGTCCAAGGCCTGGCGATCCAATCCATCATCGGCGTCGTTTATGTAATATTCACCCTCTTCTGCGTCCTCATAGAGTGTCCCTGCAACAGACTTTCCGTCATCGTCGCCCTCCCTGGACTCGTAGCCCCCATAGGTCGGCTCGGCATGCGATGCCTGGGTAGAAGGCAGGTCTCGTTTTCTCTGACTCGTCTGACGGGATAGACTTGTCTGACGGGAGACACCGACCTCGGGCTCATATCTTGCACTTCCATAGTCACTGCGGTGCTGGCTATCTTGCGTATATCCAGCAGACCGCCCATTCCCAGTATTAGCGTCAATATTGGTCCGGCGCTCTTTCACCTCCGCTGCACTGGGTGCCCATTGGTCCGTTGCGGAAAGAGGGCTCGGGGTCCGCAAACTTTGCATGCTGCGTCGACGTAGGTTGTCCTCCTGGGCTCTAACCTTTAGGCTAGATATCTTGATGTGAAGGCCCTTCATCTGATCCTGGAGATCCCGCACCTGCAGCTGCGACTGGGATCGAGAGGGAGGTTCATAAGTTGGTTGGACCGAATTGGGTCCGTTCATGGTCTCTGAAGACTCATCCTCGATTACTTCCTCGGAAATGCCCAAGCCTTTCGGTGAATCAGAGGCGGCTCGCGGGTTCGACACCGGGGGCGAAGAACGGATTTGTGGCCTTTGCATCGATGACACGGACGCACGATGGGTGAGGTACGCACGCGTTGGATCATAGCGGAAGCTTCGCTCGTCATGGTGAAGGTTAGGGGCCGTGGTTGAGCCGAGAGCGCTCACCGACCGGGAGAGATTGCGCTCAACGGCAGGCAGACTCGATTGCGCCGCAGAAGGTAAGTTGGTTTCGCTGTGAACACGGGAATGACCGTTGTTATTAATTGCGTCTTGGGATGATGTATAGGTTGCGCGTGGTCGATTAGCTGAGCCTCTGCGGTCGGCACGGGAGATGGATTGGTACAATCCACCAACTGGCTGACCCAGTCCCAGGGGTTGGTGACCCACGGATGGCGTTGGTGATGCCGACAGCGACGGGGACGCGCGCATTGACGTACGGGCTCGGCTTAGATTGCCCTCCATGAGCTGCATACCAGTGCGACAGTTAGTCACTGATCGGGATTTCATAAGCGGACCTGAAACACATGGCCAACATACCGTGAGGCGCTTCTTCGCATTCTCCAGAATTCTCTCCGCCTCGGTGCTCAAAACAGCCGACGAGAGCTCCACCCCAGATCCGCCTTTCTCCGTGGTCGCCATTAGACTCGGAGTCGAACCATTTCCTTCCAGACTGTCAATCGCAGACCGTACACCTTCAGGGACTTGGTGAGGATTTTGCACCGTACCGCGACTCCCCTGGCGGTCCTTAGCGGCGTCCTGCGACGAGTCGCTAGCACCACTAATTGTCGAGCTAGACGAGCTGCTCCACGCCGCCATTTCCCTAGCCTCCGCCTCAGCCGTCTCGCGTTGCGAGACAGGCGAACCCGCCATCCGACCCGCCTGAGACAGAAATGGAAGGGTCCTCATGTGCGCCGGCGACGACGAGACACTATCCTCCTCCCCGATGTCCGACAATCGACGACTAGAATCCTGAACTTCAGTTGGCCACATGCGACGCGAGAAACCTATTTTCTGAGGCCGGCTGCCATATGAGAGAGCAATACCGGCGGAGCCAACGCCTCGACCCTGGTCGTCGACATCATCGGGCGCCGTGCGGTTCTCGTAAAAGGACTGGAGGTTGGACAAAGAGGGGAGGTTGAATGGCGGGGACGGGGTGGAGGACTCGCGCTCATTGTGGTCGAACGGTAAGATCATATCGGGATTCGAGAGGGTTGGCGATGGGGGGATCGGAGGTGGTGGTGGACGAGGAGAGTGTCCAGCATCCTCGGCGGACAGCATGCTTATACCGTGCTGTGAAGCTGTTGAGGCCGGTGTATGTATCTAATGACGAAAGAAATCAAAGTATATCCCAGCACACGACAGGAATCGGCGCTCAGACCCAGGCCATCTGCAACCAGGGGAGGGGATGAAGGCTCGTCTGGTTCAGCTGGAGAGGTCTGGGCCTGCAGGTAGGACCAGGATTGAAGGGATGAAGGTCAGTGTGGTAATATCTGCAAGAGGGGATCTGCTGCTGGAGATGCAGAGATGCAATCGCAAAGTCAATCTGAGACAGGTTGGGCACTACCCTGGTCGAATCAGCGAGTGTGGAGGGCGGTGGCAGGCAAGGTCAGCGTAGACTTCGATTAGAAATTAGGGAAATAAAAACAAATTAGAATTAAGCATTAACTATTAAAAGCATCGAAGACGGGAAGAAGCAAAAAAGAAATAGAAGGAAAAGGAAACCGAAAGGAGGGAATAAGATTTGGGAAAGAGTAAGAGAGAAGGCAGCAAGGACGCGAACAGGAAAGGAAAGAAGAGGAGTCAAATTGCCAGTTCCACGAATGCAACCAATTCAGTTCAATTCGATTCAGTTCAGTCCAACACCAAAAGAAAGTGTTCGGGGAGGGGGGACCAATTCCAATCTGGGTTTGGGGAAATTTCCACTGCCATAATTATTCTTGTCCCTGCTTATTTTCTCACCCGTTCCCTTTTTGCCTTTTTTTTTTCCTTCGTCTCTTTCTCTACCAATCTCAATTAGGCAGGGATCTGAGCTCGTCGCTGGAGATCCTCAATCAACGGTTGAGGAAGATAAGAATCCTCAGGAGACAAGTGGGTTACTGGTTCATGGGAGAGAGAGATGGAGCAACTAAACACCTACTGGAGAGGTGGAGTGAGACCGAACCAAAGAACCGAACAGACAGGGGATGTACAGTAAGTAGCTACTACAGTAGTAGTAGTAGTATCATCTAAGCCATGGTACATTGTTCCCTCTCGGTTACCCACAGACAGCTACTTGAAGTGCATGCATTTCATTTAACTAAACCTTGAGGGACTTCCAGGATATCAATTGATCATTCATTTTCACTCCCCCTCATCATTACTATCACTGCATCATCAACAAGCCCAGTTCCAGCCCGGTTCCTGAACCACCAACCAATCCCGGAGATCGTCATTTAACGATCGGTCCGGCCTAAATTCAGCTGCACCATGGAACCAACCTCATTCGGCCATACTAATTTAAGTTACTATGACTACTGACTAACTCCGTACAGAGCTGAGATCTTCCTCCCCCTGAAATTATGAAACACCATCCCCTCCGGAAGGCTACCTGCTGAGATGCATCAGGAGTAGATGCCTGGGGGGAGGAAGCTGTGCAGCTTCTCCGGCTTCTTGGGAGTGGCGTCTTTAACGCGGGACGTGCGGTTTCAGAAACTTGGGGCCATGGGGGCGGTAACATCCGTTTTGGGGGTGTCTTTTCTGCGCTCGCTGCTACCCTACCTTTACACTATCTTTCCAATGGTTAACTATGGGGAAGTGTAATGTACGACAGTACGTTACTTTGCTACGTCTTAGAATCATGCAAAATAAATAATAAATATCAAAATGCTTTTTTCTGACTCGTTTTGGTCCCATGTCTATCACAGACCCTGTACAGATGGAGATATCACCTATAAAGAAAAAGGAATCAATATAATAAGAATCCAACGAACACCTCGATGAGCAAATGAAATGCGTTTGTAAAAGAAAAATCCCGGCCAATATTACAATTTTCCCTGCTAAGGGACCGAAACGGAAAGACTCTCTACCGGATCTTCTCCAGCAGCAGCTTCGCACCACTGCTGACCGGGCTGCCCTTCTTGCCATCCTTGCTGGTCTCCGACGACGCCTTCTCCAGCGCCTTCTTGTTCTTCTTCAGCGTCTTCAACAACTCGGCCTTCTTCTCGAAGTCGTCCGACTCCGCAAGAGCCACCACGACGAACACATTGGATCCCGTGGCCCACGACATGGTCTCTTCCTGAATCTGCTCATAAAGAAGACCGTGGAAGTTGAGCGGAGGCTGCACCTTCTCAACCTTCTTCTCGGCGGGGTTAAACCGTCCACCCTGAACCAGTGACTTGAGCAACCGGCCCACGAACGGAGAGTCCTTGGTGTCGGCTCTGGATTTGGCGGCCTCAGCCACGGCGGCCAATGCGGCGCTCTTGTCTCCATCGGCTTCGAACAGCACTTCGGAGATGAATTGGCATCCGAAGCTAGTCTCAAGGAGAGAGTCGGCACGTGCGGCAATGAGCTCGAGCACGTTGGCCGACGCAGCCTTGACCAGCTCCTGTCGGCGAAGCTCGGGGTCCTTCTTGGAGGTCTCCTTGCGGATTTCACGAACCTCCTTCAGCAGCTCATGGTCGCCGTCAGGCAGAAGCCACTTGACCCGGTCTCCGACAAACGGATACAGGATGGGGATACGCGCTGTCAAGTCGTTCACTTGGAAGAGCAGCTCTTCGTTCCGAGCCTCGGCATCCATTCCCTGGTTCAGGAGTTCGGGGAAGACCAACTTGGAGGTAAGCTTGGTGTCATCAATAACTTCGTACGCGGTCAACAGAACCAAATGTCCGTGGAGATCGCCGGCCATCATCTTGATAGTATCTCTGTAGAAACGGGTAAGGAGCTTGCGGTCCTTGGCGTTGGAGTACGCCAGACTCAACGACATCACCCGGGCACCGGACTTGGTGAAAGCCAAGTTCTTGACCAGGTCTCCCTCTTCATCGCCCTTCAGCAGCTCAACAAACTCGTTAGCCTCGGAGCTGCCCGGCTTAGTGTTAAGGTAGTACTGCAGCATGGCGTCGTGCAGGATGGTGAAACCAGAGTTGCGCTTCTGCACCAGCTGGTTGACAAGCTCCCAGAGGTAGTGCATAATGGGGCCCCTCTTCTCCGGGTGCGCCTCAAGGATCTTAGAGAGGTCCGCATCGGGCGGGCCGTTCTTGTCATCCCTGAAGATGACGAATTCCGGACCGTACCACTCACGCAGGAGGTTCGCCTTCTGTTCCTTCGTCGCAACGGTGCGGTAGATATCATCGAGAATCCAGGACCCCTCGGGGTGTCTGATGAGTCTCTTGACATGTCCGTAGAACTCAGGCACGATCAGATCACGAACCTCAGCATCACCGTGAACAATCAACTTTCCGACCAGGAACTTGGCATACCGGCTCTGCGCAAGCTCGTTGTAGCTACCCTTCAATTCCGTGGCGATCATCTTCCGTTGCTCCATGTTGGCGTATTTGAGGGCCGTCTGGATGACGCGGACCGAGTCATGCTTGAAGACAAAGTCCTTCACACGTCCAGTAATGATTTCAAAAAGCTCCTTGATGAGCTTCTTCCGCTCCTCGAGCGGAACATGAGACTTGCGACGCAGCTGCTCCCACAGCTTCTTCGAGCGACCGATCATATCAGCGTTGGGTCTGGCGGCCTTGCGCTCTTGCAGGAGGGCCTTTTGCTTCGCATGCGATTCGCGCGACGTAGACTTATCTAAATGAACAAAAGCAACAAATTAGTACCAAGACCTTTCACCAGAGAGGAATTTCAATAAATCAATCAAGCATACTTTGCTGAGCATCCGCATCCACAGACTTGGACTTCTTCCCAGTATCTTCTTCCTCCTCAACATCTTCCATATCAACATCCTCCTCCTCATCATCCTCATCATCCAAAGCATCAATCTCCGAATCATCAACATCATCCAGATCAAAATCATCCTCCTCATCATCATCAGACTCAGACTCAGACTCCTCCTTCTGCGCCTTCTTCTTACTAGAAGTCTTCTTATCCTTCTTTCCACCCTTATCGCCCTTCTTCGACAACCCAGACTTGGAAGCCTTCACGGGGGCCGCAGACGACTTGCTCTTCTTCGCGGGCACGGACACCGGCGTCTTGGTCCGTTTTCCATTGCGCTCGTCACCGGCGTCTACTCGACGCTTTACCCCGACCATGGTGAATATGTCTGGAAATCGAACAAAAAGAGGCTATACCCTTGAGAAGATAAATGAAAACTTCTCTGGCGGGGATATCAGACAGGGTAACAAAAAAAAATATAAAATGGTACGCCGCCCGCGGGTTAGCTTTGCTCAATTTGTCCCGGAGAATGGACTTTTTTTTCCCTAACCGCTTTTTGCTTTTTTCGGGAGGACAGGGCGGTCGAGATTTGGTTGGGTTTGTTTTGTTTGCATTTGCTGATAAGAAGGGTGTCTGTCTAACTTATCTATCTAATGGGGTTCCCGCGGATGGATTTGGATTATCGTGAATTAGATAATTTGGTTTTAGTGGTTTATTGATTCTTTATTAGATGGTCTCGATCATCTAGTCATGTTTATGATGCAGACAAAACAAATATTTCGCATGCAGGAATCTCTATCGATGAATCTAAAGAAACATCAAAAGTCACCGATGCAAAGCCCCGACAGCGCGCAATGCGATTAGATTTAAGCCAAAACCCACACAAATGAATCAGACAAGCAACAAGCACAACTGTCGAGGGTGATTGAACAGAGCAAAAGAAAAAAAAAATGACACTTCAATGGTAATCCCCATCCAGACGCCTACAGATTATGAATTACCCAGTATATAGTTACACACCCCCTGCGCTCGTATCACGCATCATGCACCTCCGATTCCGCATTAACCGGCGGTGCTTTGAAAGTACCTAATTCGGAGCCCGGATTGCTTGGGCCTCTTTTACGGCCCGGGATGTGAAATCCAAGAGTCGAAGATTTAGAGGTACTGGAGTTCTGGGAGGAGTCGTTTGTAAAGTCACCGAACCGAGAGAAGATGCTCTTCCGCTTTGGTTTGACCTCCTCGTCGTCGAGCGCAACCTCTTCGTATTGCTCTTCTTCCATGGCTTCCGGTTGCTTGCTTAAGTTGGAGTACAGCGTAGATGGTGTTGATGTTATATGGGAGACTCGAGAGTCGAGCGATGTTCGAGATGGCATCGCATCGGTATAGCATACGGGTGATCGGGCGGAGATATCCTGGAGGCGCAGTGTAAGTCACTTTTGCGACAAAAAAAGTGAGATCAAGTACGGATGGGTAATTACAAATGATCGGCGATACGAATCGAATGACTCGCGAGATATCGAGAAGGGTTCGTTCTCATTTACGAGATCGCGATGGTGCGAGGATCTCGGGGAACCAGGGTACTTGCGCCAGAAGCCCTGTTTCTCTGGAGGTGAGGGCTATTGACATGTGAGTTACTTGTTCCGCATGCGAATAAGACCCGCCATGTGATTGTAACGGTAGTGGTTCACATACGGGATGGTAGATTCCATTGGCGTCGACGACTGGCGGGAAGAGGATAGAGTTAGCGGGGTAAATTAAGGATCCATTGAAAGGGTCCCTAGGTAGCATACCACTGAGTTTATATTCAGGTGGTTCGTTTTCCGAACTCTTCCTGAAGTTCAAAGGACTCGAGCCTTGAGTGTCGAGTGAGGCATGGCTAGCAGAGTTATCGGTGGGAGCGGCACTGACTTCCCCGCCATTGGGGGCAGTGGACTTTCTGGACAAGAAGTTGCGGAACGGCGCCATGGTGAAATGATAAGGAAGGGAAGCAGTCGCGTAGACGCAAAAAGACGGAGGGTCCCTGACAGGAGAATAAATATGCTGAGGTGGTCAAGCAACAATGGCGAGACCAGAACCGGGCGAGTTGCTTGCCAGGATGTACAACGCTCAAACCTCACATGATCGGCGGTCTCGGGCATCGGTACAATTTATGAAAGGGTGGTTCATCCGCTGGCGGTGCAATCACAATCTGTTGGACGGGGTCGTTCCGACTTTTGCGAGGGGTAAAAGAAAAAATTGGGAAGAAGAAAAAAAAGAAAAAAATACTAATGGTTCTCAACACAGTTGATTTGCCACTGAGTTGTGTGCAACGAACCCATCCAGACTAGCCAGGCATTCTGATCTCTCACTAGTCAAAAACAAGGCCGGGGAACTTGGGCATATCATCATCGCCTTTATCCCAGGCATTGCAGTTCCATACTAGTGTCCGAGATAGCGTCATTGTGCCCCATTCATGTTTCTTTTTTATGAGGGGGTTTATTCATCACCTGACTAAGCATCTCCTTGTCTTGGTAACGTCAACAATCCCATCGTATACGTAGTCTACTTGGTGCTATTACTACATGACTACAACTCTACTTTGACTATCAATGGTTACTTACCTTGTCCCTCAATCCCCCACAGTTCTTCTGAACTCTGTAGTGGCTACTAATCTGCCATGATTGTTTTTTGTTGCTTTGATTTCCCCCTTGCCGCATGCTAATCTGCATGACCATGACCTGCAAGAAAATACCACTGGGAAAGCTCACGTTCATTCATATCAAGCAAGGCGACATAGCTCGCTGTAGATCATACTTACTTGCAGTGGCGTCGTCACTTTCATAAGTCAGAAGTTGTGGCTTGCAGAACCCCATCCTCATACATGCCAATCTATCCGTTACGATATCCCATTGGCTATGTTCCCAAGCCAGGGGGCACATGCAACCTCTGCCGACTGTGCTTCATTGAAGTCTATCTAGATACCTCTGACTAGCTATATTGATGCAGACTTCTTAAGGTGCTAACAGCATAGTACTTGTGCAATGCACTCTGTAGGTGTTGATCTCTTTTCGGCTAGCAGACTCTAGACGTCCGAGTCGATTGTGCTCTAGCCCGAAGAGGATTGGCCATCTTACATGGATCTCCATTGCTATCGACAGTTGACACATACACAGCATATACATATTCCAGTGGCAGCTATGTTCACACCTCTCGTGTCTGATCAAACATTGGCAAGAGCCTTCAGTGTTGTGCCTCTGAAGGCTGCCGACTTAGTAGCATGCGGCCAACACACGCCTTTGGAGGGTACCTGCCCGTGAAGCTCTTGCCAAACATGACTGAGACGGTGGGGTGCCTTCCATATCTACTGGGTGCCTATATTGTATTGTCACTCATCCTATCGTCGTCTTGAGACATCCCACATTGATTCCTCTGGCTCATTCCCCTGGTGATCTAGATATCACCATAACTTGAAAAAGTATAGGTCAGGCTCTCCACGCTTTGCTACGGGCAGATAATCGACTCCCGTCTGAGATGGCGACACAATCAATTCGGGGTCTAGGTGTATGATCTAACATCCTGTGTCCCCAGCCTACTTTACTATCAACTATCACTATGCCTAAACTTTCAGCGCTGATTTTATCGATACTATCGATTTTCATTTTGGCCGGAGCAGCCTCTTCCACTGTCCTCCCCCGAAATATCAGACGCGAAGTTACCGCACCCTACTGTGAAGATAGAACCGGCCGCCTGATTACTACTCTGCGCCGTGACGTTCATGGCGACTACAATGCCAATGTCGAAGCTATCAGCGATTCCACTCCGGAAAGAATAGCCGCCCCTCTCTGCAGCGACAATTCTCAATGCAACCTTGGCCAAATCTGCAATCAAGGTTTCTGTGTCGCAGGTTGTAAGTCCAATGTGGACTGTTCTCGCTTTCACACCTGTTCCAAAGGGTCGTGCACAGATAGCCGTGGCGGCAGATGCGCCCCAAATAGGAGCAGATGTTCTCTCAGCGCCGAATGCTGCTCGGGTCGATGCAAGCGCTGGGGCGGTCTCCTGGGAAGAAGAAGATGCAGAGGCTTTAGAGATGTGTGAGGTTGTTGGCCTGGCTGCTTCTACTGAAGCCTTGTGTGTGCAGGTTATCGGCTTGAGGGAATCAAAGCATCGTCTACCAGTTGTGGCGCTGAATGTGTGTTGCTTCTTTCGAGCTTAGCGCTAATTCCTACCGTCTCACCTATTGCACGAACCATGTATCAATATCAGAGTGGAGGGGAATGAAAGAAAGCATCTTTAGACGCCATGGTGATTGTATTAGTAGTTTTTGTTGATTGTAATAGGCCAGTTACGGTTAGACGTAGGGGACACATTTAACCTTACTAGTGTGTATCCGTGTTGTCAAAACCTCACACCGGCTAGAGGAGTGGGTAATGTAATGGCATATTCACTAAATCGAATTATATCTAATAAAAAAATCTGCATTTCCCCCATATAATGAGCGAAAATGGAGTGAATACAAGTTGCAGTAAGTAGTATATAATGAAGGTACAATAATAATATTTAATATCTGTCACGGATAGTCCGGTGGGAGGTCAGCCGCCAAGTCAATAACCTTGCTTAGGTAATTGCCAGCGGGACTGGTGCCTGGTACGAATCCCGGGGTCGTCATTGTACTCGTGCGAGTAATCCACGATGCTATGAGGCGCTAAGCAATGGAAGTGACCCTTGAGGGAAGCAATTCTGCAGAGACATTTCCACCCCGGGATGGCGTCGCCAGAGGACACCGTCTCGTTACAGGGAAGTTGGGACCTTGGCTGGGCAACTACTATTCTCTTCTTTTTGCTGTTTTATTTTTGGCTCTATATATGAGCCACCGTCCCTTCTTATTTCTTTGCTAATTTTTTGTCGCTCTGCTTGCTACCCTTTTGATTATTTTTTATTTTTTCTGGATGTTCAAATGTAGATGGTTGCTCATGATGTTAGTTGTGTTGGACTTCGGTTCCGCAGTAGTATATATTCCTATGGTCATCCCAGTCCAGTCTACCTCGCTGGCCACCTTTCGACCGTGCTGTGGCATGGAAAAAGCTTCACTCAGAATGTATGTAGAATAGGCGACATGTTGGCCATTTTTGGTGAATATCCGAAGCCCATTGATGAAAGAACACAAGATGTAGGCAGGTAGTACACCATTGAATCTCGCTGGCATCATTGTTACTATGTCGCATTCACCTCGCCCATGAACCTTCTTTCCCCCATTGCAGCATAACTGCACTTTCCTCGACTACCAAACTTTACGAAGGACCAGTTATCTACTATCCTACCTGGTAGGTTGTATCTCTCAACATTCAATTTTTGAGCATCATACATCGTTCAGTAAACCCCCCGGGCTTACCAACTAAAGCAGCAACGCCGACCTCGACATACTTCTTCATACAGACGTGTCTGTGACAGCCACAGTCCACGCCAGCGCAGTCACCTGGGATAGGCCTTCCTGTGTCTAGTTTAGACTACTGCTTTCCTGCATCTACAGCGGCTGCATCCCCCATCAAAAGACTTCTTACTCACCGAACGCATCATGAATTTCTGGGTTGGTTGGGCGCTCTGGCAGAAACTGAGCTTTGTAAGATCCCCAAGGCCTTGGAAACGAGGATTGTCGCTAACCTGCGACTAGGCGCTCGCAGGCCTTCTGGTAAGGATCCAGTACTGGATTGGCATACATTCCACTGACACGTCAAGGCATTGGTACTGGTGTACTCATTCATCGTCCTAGCCTACAACAGGCGAAAGACACAGAAGTATGCCACCGCTGAAGCACGACAGAAAGCAGAGATGCAACCCATGCTGGCCGAACCGAGTGAGATACCGTTTGGTGCTAGAGCTTTGGAGAAGGGAATTCAAGTAGAAGGCATATGGACACCCGATTGCCGTTCTGCGAGACAGTCCACCACTCACTCGGGTAGTAGACCTGAAAGTCTTGCGTCGGCACCCAAGCCGACGTTGATGGCGCTGACAGGAGATGATATCCAAGGTCTTGAGCGGACATACCAACCGGCACCTAGCCCGAGCCTCTATGACCAGTGCAACTCCCCCAAGGTTGTAGACATCAAATACGGACAATCAGAGTACATCTCTCTCTCGCCAACCAACCAGTCTCTACAGCTGGATGGCCCCATTAGTATTGAACCGGAATGCTCCCCAGATCTAGACAAGCGTCGCTCAAGGTGGTTTGGTGCGCGAAGCTCGTGGGTCAAGAAGCCCTTCGATAGCTACAAAAGAAGATCAACGCCAGAGGGTAAGATCCTGAAGTATATTGGCCTGGACTCGAAAAGCTAAGCATACACAGGGCTTCGCCGCACTTCATCGGAGAGCTTCAGAAGGAGAATCAGCAAACTCATAGACGAGGATATCCGGACAAATCCAGCTGAAATATATCAACTAAGAGCCATTAACCAGGAGACGCTTGAAGGCCGTAGAACGCCATCACCGACGAGGTCGCAAGGCTTTTCAAATGCCATGCTATGAGGTGCGAGACCAGATTGATTTGCCAGTATTCCAGGCAGCCTCTACTGTTGACCCTGTTACATGCAATGGCAACAATACTATCGAGGGGCCTATGAACGAATCGTTGGATATCATTTAGTCATTGATAAGCCTCGGTTACTATGACGAATTGTGTTGTGAAACAAATGCACGCCTGGAAGCGCGCAAGACACGCAACGGAGACAAAATGTATCTCTTTTCCTTTCTTTTGTGATGCAGAGAAAGTACGTGCTTCATATGCGTCGAATAAAACAGGTTTGGCCTGGCAGTTAGTGTATTAATGTAGATATAAATTGGACTCATAGTTGTAGGTAAATGGCCCACCCAAGGCAACAAGCTGATGCCAGTGGGCACGTGATGTCGCGACTGCCTGGACGCGTCCACAATCTCAACATGACTTGAATAACGCGCTGCGACAACGGCAATTTGCCACCATAGAATAAAAAAAAACCACGGGTTTCTGGACAATTTTGCCTTATTGCATGCAGAAGCTGGATTGTGTATTGCAATCCATCCAGTGTTGAAATCTGAACTACATCAGGAAACCGCAACTGATCTAGACGCGTGTGTGCGCGGTTAACAGGCGACATCTATTGCCATTTCTCCCAAGATCTTTGCAGTATCGCTACAAAGGCCACTGGATTCTGACGCTACAGAAGTTTGAATTCTTTGTGAAAGATGACTGCCGACGCTGATACTCAGAATGAGTATGACGATGGGCTTCCAGGCCCCGGAGCGCCCACGCCACTCTCTTCCCTGGAGGTGAGCAATTCAAACGGCAAACAATATGCTTGATGATGGGTAGGTGAAATTGAAGTGCTGATGCTTTTCGTAACAGGGTGTTTCGGGCCTGACAAGTAGGGATATCAAGCTGTTTGTTGATGCTGGATACAACACTGTTGAGTCGGTTGCATATACGTACGTCTTTCCTTTGCCAGTCTGGTTATGTGTCAATGTCAATTCCAGCTCTGCTCACAACCACATTCTTGCGTATGGTATAGGCCAAAACGGTTGCTGGAACAAATCAAGGGTATCTCGGAACAGAAAGCCACCAAGGTCCTGGTTGAGGGTGAGTGTTGCTCTTATGGTATTGGAACTCGTACGCGACGATCTTGTCTGACTCCATAATTTTGTAGCTATGAAGCTTGTGCCGATGGGCTTTACTACCGCGACCGAAATGCATGCGCGACGAAACGAACTCATCTCAATTACGACAGGCTCTAAGCAGTTAGACACCCTTCTTGGAGGTGGCATCGAGACAGGCTCTATCACGGAGATATTCGGAGAGTTCAGGACAGGAAAAAGTCAAATATGTCATACACTCGCCGTGACTTGCCAATTGCCTTTTGACATGGGCGGAGGAGAAGGAAAATGCCTATACATTGACACAGAAGGTACCTTCCGACCAGTGCGTCTATTGGCGGTTGCACAGCGATACGGGCTGGTGGGAGAAGAGGTGCTGGATAATGTGGCATACGCTCGTGCCTACAACTCAGACCATCAACTTCAGCTACTCAACCAAGCTTCGCAGATGATGTGCGAGACTCGTTTCTCGCTCCTTGTCGTTGATTCTGCCACTTCTTTGTACCGGACAGACTTCAACGGTCGTGGTGAACTGTCGTCGAGACAAACACATCTTGCGAAGTTCATGCGTACCCTGCAGCGCCTCGCTGATGAGTTTGGTATTGCGGTCGTCATTACGAACCAGGTCGTTGCCCAGGTGGATGGTGGCCCGAGTGCAATGTTCAATCCGGATCCAAAGAAGCCAATCGGTGGTAACATTATTGCGCATGCAAGTACGACGCGGTTAAGTTTGAAGAAAGGACGGGGTGAGACTCGGGTCTGCAAGATCTATGATAGCCCATGTCTCCCTGAGAGCGATTGCCTGTTCGCTATCAATGAGGATGGTATTGGGGACCCGAGCCCCAAGGACTTGGAGAATGACTGAAAAGGGCGCGGATAGATTCTCAGGCTACGAGTTCATGATTATAGTTGTTTTGCTTGCATGTATAGGCTGCGTACATAATAATAGCCTCGGGAATCCCCGATATTTGACTAGTATATCATTTCTTGTAGGAAGAGTCAATTCGCATTATCCATCGAATCGATTGGTGTAGTTGCGGAGATGCAGCAAGGCGGTGGCAGCTTTATTGCTGGGGGCGGCGCCAAGACCTGTTTTTTCTGGAGCGCCGAAAGAGCTTCAGCTTCTGCCCTTCAACTCCGCCGTGCAGCGACTCCTCCCTCCAATTACCTCCATCGGCCATGGAGACTTGAACTGACCATTAACTCCAGATCGTGAAGTGTGGTCTGTTCCTTAGTCCAGTCATGGCTAAAATCTACAAAGATACCCGAGTCGACCTCCGGCCGTACTCGCCGAACACCGTCGTCAACATCCCGATCTCGACCCAAGAAAGTACGCAAAGCCGCGCGCGATTCTCGGTCATCTCGAGCCCCAACCGTGACGAGCCGGTCGCGAAGGACGAAGACGAGTTTTCCAAACGATACCTAGCGAGTCAGGGTTCGATCTATTTCCGCAAACGCAATGTCTACCCCCGAACCTATCTGTGGAGGGTTGTCGATAACAGCAAGATCTTGGAGATCCAGTGCGTGGATCTGACCAAGGCTGGTATCGAGCACCACGAATACAATGTAACACTGCGCTTGGAATTTGAGGAAGGCATTGTCCCTTCAGGTGTTGATTTTGCCGATCTGGAGGAGCACGAAGCGTTGAGCGTGTTCGTGATCACCACCTCCAAGACTCTCCACACCTTGACTCTACGCCCTGAGTTCTTCCGTAGAACTGCATCAATTGACAACAACATCTCCGACTGGTGCAAGACGTTCAATCCCGCACCTCTCACATTTTCTTATCCACACCGTCTACATGCGAGCAGCCCGCTCGAGCTGTTCGTGTCTCTCGACAATGGCGCGCTTTTGCGCTTGACCAGGAAGTCTGGTGATGATGGTAAACCCACTATCCTTGTTTTAAATCACCACTTGTTATATAACTGCGATACTGATCTATCTGGTGTTTTCCAGGCTCACACTGGTCTCCCCTGACCTTCGATGAGAGAACTTGGGGCTCATCGATTCGCGGGCTGGTCAAATGGCATGCGCAGCCGTCAATCAAATACCAAGGACGCACCCTCGAATTGAGCGCGCCAAACGCTATCGCTACTACAACTGATCAGACCTATGTATTCGCTGTCTGCTTGAACCACACGCTCAAGATCTGGAACCTTGCTACGAACAAGTTGGCCGCTACGAAGGACCTACTGGACCGTGATGTGCAACCGTCGGAGGAATCTTTGTACTCGCTGAATCCATCCGAAACTTCCTTCATCAGGGTCTTTAACATGGAGCGTGCGCTTGACGGTGCGTACCGTTATTATGTTGTCACCTACTCGCCGTTCGAAGACGGGCTCTTCAAGTTCTGGGCTGTCAAGGGAGGCCTGACGTCGCCGCTTGTTATCGAGGACCTGTACCCGGGTGCTGCACTGAAGCCTCTGGATCCCGACTCGACCGGGAGCATGTTCTGGAGCATCGCCGATTTCCAGATCAAGCCTGCTGAGGAAGGAAAGCGCATGGAGCTGTGGGTTCTGTGGAGAAACAGCAGTCTATACCAGCTGTTTACGCTGCATTTCAACTTCGAAACCCTGGTGACGGATTGGAAGTCCAACTGGGCGTCTACAGTCATGGACACCCGCGGTCAGGCATATCCCCCCGTTATGGCCTTGTCTGACGTGGTCGATCCGACGGAGAAGTGGCTCGAATTCCTCCTGCAGCCCAACAAATACTCGACGGAGGTCCTTGAGACTGCCCTCTCTATCTACCAGGAGGCACTCAGACCTCTGTCGTCGCCCAGCACGCTGAAGAGAAGCGCCCCTCTTGCAGAAAGGCTCTGCTCTACTGTTGCTGCCACTGTTTCTCTTCGCAAGTACGCCGATGATGGGATGGACTTCACACGGTACCGAACCGATACAGACTCGAAGTGGCGCCAATTCTGGCAAATTGCGGATGATGTCAACAAGAGAAGGTTTGAGCCAGTCTCTCTTGCATATGATACCTACTATGAGACACCGTGGATGGTCCTTTCCGACAGCTGTGCCGTGATTCGTGAATGCAGCGCAACCGAGCTTATTCTACATAACTCCGGCCCAGAGCTTCGCGCGGAAGCACCCAAAATCGTTGATCGCTGGAGGCACCGGAACCTGGATTCAGAGATCGGCAGCCTCTTTGAGGATGCCTCTCACCTTATGAACGTTGCCTCCAGCTTCCGGAGGAGCTTCGCTCCCGAACTCGAAGTGGCATGCCAGGGCGCCCTTGAAGCAGAGCTGTTCACTGAACCCTCCATCTCTGTGCAGGATAGAATGGAGGCGTTCCGCGAGCGATGTGATTTTGGAGAGCAAATCTCCAACAAGACATATGATGGGCTGGTTGGTGCCGTTAATGAGCGTCTGAACATCTTCAGCTTGCCAAACGAAGTCTTCTACACCCTTGTGGACACGATTCCGCTGGGCTTCCCTGGCAAGGACTCTGATCTCGTCAACACTCATTTCGGTGTCAAGGTCATCGTCAACGGTGTCCAGGAGACGATCTCCTTTACGCGAAAGACTCTGACAGACCTCTTGTACATGATCCTTTTCATCGATGGTGAAGTTCAGCAGGAGGAAGACTCGACGTTCGACGCCGCAGACTTGTTTGTCACTATCATAACTCTCCTGAGGGAATACGAGATGATGTCTTGGTTGAGCTCGAATTCCCGCAAGTGCTCCGATAGACCGGCGAAGGCCACCGACGACATGCCCGTCACCTCGTTCTCTGTCAAGGAAGCGCCAGCAAATAAGGGTGGTGAGAGGATAGCGACTATCCTTGAGGATCTGTTCGCCAGCGATATCAAGCCCCGTCAAGCCGTCGGCCTGCCCCAGAGCTACACGATATCTCTTGGTATCCGTGATATCCTCTCCTGGGTGACTCGTCAAGGCGAGGTCGCCTATCCCAATGCTCTTGTCTACATACAATGCGACCTCATCGCTAAGAACAATATCGACCTTGCATGGGACTTCCTCCGCTTCCAAGCAAGCACATCCTGGGCCACCTATGTCAAGGGTCGGCTGTACGTGGCCATGTCCGAATACGATACTGCGGCTTTGTATTTCCGCAAAGCTGCCTATCTTCTTTGTAAGTCCTCGTCTCACATACAACACGTTGTGATCCTCTGTCTGACCTTGCATAGCATGCGGAAAACCCCTGGGTAACCTGCACGAGATGTCCTCGACCCTCCTCGACATCGTCTCCGTGGACTGCTTCCACAACGGTCTTCCCAAGTACTTCCAACACATCTTGACGATATTCGAACATGCGCGCTCGTTCTCCCACGTCGCCGACTTCGCCAGCCTCGCGCTACAAGCCCTTTCCAGTGAGCACGGAAGCGAGCAAGACCCCGAATTCGCCAGCCTACGGGCCGATCTCCTCTCACGTCTGTTCTATGCTTCTCTACAGAACTGCCAATTCGACCAAGCCTACTCTGCGCTGGCCAGATATAGGGATCGTGCTCTGCAGAAGTCCGCCTTAAGCTCTCTCATCACCGGCATCCTGGCCGCCTCAGGCCCCGGCACCGCTGGACTACAGAAGATCCTCCACTTCCCGACAACGCTCATCCCCAACATCGCCTCCCACGTAGATGACATCCTGGCCTCACTTGCCCGCAAACAGACCTCCTTCAGCTCCTACCTCGACACAGAGAGCAAATGGGCCGACAGCACCCCCGACTACCAGCGAATCCTACAAGCATACCGCATCGCACGGGGCGACTACCGCGGCGCAGCAGAGATCGCCTACCGCAACGTCCAGCGCCTCCGCCACGCCCGAGACCACTCAACCCATCTGGTCCTCGCCCGGGCGCGAGAAACCGCCGACGACAACCGACCCGTCGAGGAAGACGACCCGGAGAGCAAGGAAATCCGCCACGAGCTCCTCTCCCTCATCAACCTCCTCGCCTGCGTTGACAAGAGCGAATCCTACATCCTCGTGGACAGAGACGGACCATCCTCCTCCACCTTCAACCCCCTCACCGACCGCCGTCGCAGCAGCCTCGCCCCCGCCGACGACGACGGAAACGTCTTCATGGAAGACGCCGAAGCCACCATCAGTACTACTGGCGGCCCGGCCTCTCCCACTACCCCCTACAGCTCCTCATCCCACCCCAACCAACACCGTCGCCTCAGCGCCAGCCCAACCGCCATCCGTCCCTCCAGCCGTCGCGACAGCAAATCCTCCATCACATCCGCCACCATCACAATCCCTCAACGTCGCGTCATCGTAACGCTGGACCATCTGCGTCGCGAGTTCCAGACCGAGCTGGATCGCGTCAGCCGTATCGAGCGTGGCGATTGGGAATTTGGAATCCTTGATGACGGTGATCCCATCGGCGGTGGCCAGGATCATGATGATACGATGCTTCTCGCGTAGATTTGCTACTTTTAGCTTAAGGCTGATATCGCTTGATTTTTCCTTATTTTAAACTCATTGTTTAACAATTTCTTTTTCATTTTCCTTATTTTCTTTCCCCATCCATCCAGTCATCATCTTACTACGCAATAAATACGGGAGTTGAAGGAATCTCTTAGTTTAGTCACTACTACCATCTATAACTAGTTAGTTAGTTAGCTAGGTAGTTGCCTTGTTACACTAGTCTAGTCTAGTCAAATCGATTCGGTTACATCGTGATCACCATTGTTCTCATTAAATCCTATTATTATTATTATTATTATCACCTCACCAATCATTCATACTAACTATATTTAATAAGGGTAAATCTCCGATCCGGAACAATTTCCTTGTTTTTTCCCTTTCCCTTTCCTCCCGCATACTTCCTGCTCGCTCGATCGATCGATCTGGAGCGGCTGGCTTGCTGACTGGCTTGCCGAAAGGGATCGTGTATGTATG